GTTGTTTTTTCAGACAGGGTTTCTCTGTGTAGCTTGGGAGTCTATCCTGGCACTTGCTCTGGAGACCAGACTGGCCTCGAACTCACAGAGATCCACCTGCCTCTGCCTCCCTAATGTTGGGATTAAAGGCATGCGCCACCAACGCCCAGCAATAGTAACAAATTTCTATTTACTATTTAGAGTATTTCATATAGGAGTACAACATGTACATCATTGTCCTGCATCCTTCTCTCCTCTAACTCTTCATACTTCCCAGATCTCAAGTTCATGATCTTTTGTTCTATAATTGTTGTTGTTATACATCTCCGCATGTGCACACACCACTGATTTCACTTAGTGCTGCTCTGATGTACTTTGGTTTAGGATAAAAGAGAACATTGAGCTGGGTAGTGGTGGCACATGCCTTTAATCCCAGCACTGGGGAGGCAGAGGCAGGCTGATCTCTGTGAGTTCAAGGTCAGCCTGGTTGGTCTACAAAGTGAGTTCCAAGACAGCCAAGGCTGTTATATAGAGAAGCCCTGTGTCAAAAAACAAACAAAAAAAGAGGGTATTGAATTGAATTCTCTGGAATTGGAGTTATGGATGACAAGTTGCTATGTAGGTGCTGGAAACTAAACCTACATCCTCTACAAGAACAGTAAGTGCTCTTAACTGCTTAGTTATCTCTCCAGTCCACTATCTACCTCGACTTTTGTACTTAATCTTTGTAATGGATAAAATGATATGCCAACAAATGTGGCTTACTAAGTACTCTTGAAAAAGCAACATTTGTTTTCAAATATCCAAACCTAAAGGTGTAAAAGTCCTTGATTACATGTCATTAGTAGTTCCACCTTTCAAGTATTTTTAAAACATCAATGCTAACTTGGTAAAATCCCATTTTATTTTTATTTTTTTCTACTTCCTCATAGTATCCAATCATAAAGAACAAAGATCACATAGAACAAATGAGTTACTATCCAAACTATGATAATGTCTTTATGAACAATTGTACACAAATTAGATTTTGGAATTTCAATCTCTTGCTTGGTTGTGACTAATATTGTCTATGATACAGTCCATACTTTTGATTTTTGTTTTGCTAGTGTTTACTATGATAATGAACAATTTGGTTAATCTTCCTGTAAAAATTGATTTTGTTTGTCCTCCAATGTTTCGGACTAATAAGAATTTCCCTTTTTAGTATAGCTGGTTGTGCCTCATCAACCACAGACTTTCATTTTAGAGTGATTCTTCTAATTACAAAATCATCTAGTAGTAGTCTGAACAAGTGGCATTCTGGCTAACACCACCCAAGAATACTGACACTCGAGTTTATATGAACGCCCTTTATAACATAATGTTAGTTGTGGCATCATTTGGTTAATCTATTTGACATTGTCTTACTATTTCAATATGCAGGGACAAATGCAGGTACTAACTGTTCAGAGGGGAATGCATCGTATGGTTGGTTAAAGACTGCTAGGTAGTTAAATGAAGTTAACTTCAAAAGCAATTGGATCTTGAACAGTTCTGATGTCAGGTGACACAGATCAGCGTTTCCTGAAATATTCTGCTAACAGAAAAGAGGGAAGGTTGGTAACATAAAGATAAGCTTCCCTTTTGTAATGTTTTCTTAAATGGTGACTTCTTTCTATAGGAACAAAAGCAACAGTACCCAACCTGAAAATGGGGCAAATCAATACTGAAGAGAACTAAAAAGGTATTTCAATGTGTCCCTTTCATGTGACCCTTCTATTTGACCCAGAAGTATTTGTGGATTTTTTTTTTCACTGACTAATTGAAATAAGGAACAGGATAAAGAAAAACATTACACAATTTTGTTTCCTTTTTTAGTCTGTGAATTAAGGGAAAAGCAATGTGTTAAAATAAGAAATGTTATTAACTACTCTACTTATGGGAAAAGCAAACTGGAGCTAGCTCATGTTTTATTTCCTCCTATTTCAAAAGAAATTGGAGGCAGCTATAAAATTGGCATAGTTAGTAGTAAAAGAGTCTGCAGTGCTTGGGAACCCATGAAAGGAACATTTTCCCTGCCCTTGCCTTATGTACATATGTAACTTTCAAACTACTTCAATCAGAAAAGCTGGCCTTTGGCGGTCAGAGAGAATGCTTCAGGGTAGATCAGCAAATAATATAAATCAGTGGCTTCTGCCTAGTGTTCAGCCTCTGTGCACATTTGCCTTCCAACACTCATCCCTTCACCAAAGCTGCTGTGTGATCAATCCTTCCCATATAGGTACTGGGCCTAGGTATATGGAGGCAAAGCTTTAAGCATGCAACGTGGAGAATTCCTTGCTTCTAGCATTGCATATATTTATGTACTAGTGTATAAGAAATATAAGTGGTGACTGCCATAAAAATTTAGTTGGTATACCCAAGCACCTAAAGAGTACAGCAAAAGCAAATCAGCTATCATACTTCTGACTAGGATTTGATTTGAGAACCACATCCATCTGATAAAATGGAAGATTTTCTGTTAATGATACATGATGGAATAAAAATGACCTGGGCATAGCAAAGGCAAATGCTCCCTGAATCCAGTGGAGCAGACTTAAGATTTCACTATTTCTTTTTGTTTTTGTTGTTGTTTCATTTGTTTGTTTGTTTCCTAGACAGAATCTCATTATGTAGCCCAGGCTGTCCTGGAACTCCCTATGTAGGTAAACCATGCTGGCCTCGAATTTACAGAGAGCTGCCTGTCTCTGCCTCCCAAGTGCTGGAATTCACATACATGAGAAGGTTGAAAGAAAAAGTAAGAAATCGGTGTTGTTTGATGGACCCTACTTTCCCCATCACATCTGCTTGCCACCAGTAAGATTTGTGCTAAGAATGATATGCAGAGGTGAGCAGAAAAATTGTGAAAGTCGGAGGTTGGGGATGACTGAACCAAAACAGTGTCTCCTGGACAGGACAAGACAGGACCACTGTGGTTATGAACTCGAAGCAGCTGTATTGTCTGTATAAGACCAGCACAAGGTTAAGGCAGTGAACATTCCAGCACAAATGGGGAAGAGGCACATGAGCCCCACTGTAGAGATTCTCTTGACAGTAAATGGCAATTGGGGGCAGTTCTCCTTAGGGGTGTAATCCAAGTTAAGTTGACCAAGTTCCAGTGGACAGCTCCACATAATCTATATATGGGTAGCACTAATTGGACCCAGTAGGTTAGATAAAAAGATGATAAGTAGTTGAAAGAGACATGACAGGATCCAGGAGGATTTAGAGGGAGGGAGTGGAGATAAATATAGTTAAAATTCATTGCATATGTGTATGAGATTCTCAAAGACTAAATTTAAGATATTAGTAAATAAAATCAGTCTTGTAAGAATGAGTACTTTATTCAGAATATGCATATTGTGTAGTGCATACAGAAGAAAATTCTACATTGAAGAACAAGCAAAAGTTCCATTTAGGTGAGTGGAATATAAATGAAAAGGAGCTAAAGTTCAAAAACAAGACAGAGGTTTCTGAGGCTATATTTCACTGCTGTCACAAAGGAAAGTCAGCACTTATTTTAAAATATCTTTTACTTATTCTTGGTCAATTAGATACATGTACACATGTATCTCAATCATAGCCACCCAACTCTTCCTCCTCCCTCTCAGTCCCCTTAAATACCCCTAACATGTCATCCTTACACCTTCATGTTTTCTCCTTTCTATGTGTACATAACCAATTAAGACTGATTAGCACTACCTGATGGTATGAATAGATCGTGGCCAGGCCTTGTGTAGGTAACAATTGCTACAGTAAGTTCATGAGTACAACAGTCATGCCAAGTCCAGATGGATCTCATACAAGTACTCTTCTCCATCTACCACCTTTTCCATTCTTCCTACCTCCTCTTCTGGGTTGCTCCCCAAGCCTTGGGGAGGTTGATATAGATGTTCTGTTTACTACTGAACTCTCAGTAGTCACTTGTTAAGAGTCTCTGTATTTAACTGTACTACTAAAGAAGCTTCTGCAGTCAAGATTCAGAACATTAATCTCTATACAAACAAATATTTATAAGGGAATTTGACAATATATCTACATAGCAAAACAACAGGAGTAGGTTCCTGACTAGGGCTTATGAGGAACTTTACATTGTCAGGCATGAATTCCCTCTTGTGGAGCAGGCCTCAAACCCAATTAGAAAGCAGTTCATTACAACCATTACCTTCTTGCATCTATTACATCAGTGAACACATCTTGCCTGTCAGGTTGGCATTGTAGCATTCAGAGCTAACTAATGGGTAGTACCTTCATCCTCTAGTATCCTGCAAAGTGTCTTCCAGCACCATGAAAGCTATCGAGAAGGGAGGAAGATTTCAGGTCATTTGCCACTCGATTCCTCTATGCCGTGTAACCAAAATGTGTTATATCTTCAGCAATAGGGTCTTACTGACTAGTTTTGGTAAGAGCAAAAGCAATAGCTGGTATTATTTTGGGGGCCTCTGGTGTCTCCCAGAGCACTAACTCACAGCAATGTATCTGTTGCTTAGATTTGAGATTTCCTTTTACTAACTCATGTCTTCTGTGGGAAGCACATTATGTACACATGTGGGTCACCTTGTTCAAATTTTGGATTTTAAATTATCTCACGAGGTAGTGGGCTTCCATACATCCTAAGTTTTGGTAACAGTCTGCATCTTTTTTAGTCTCCTCTTCTAATCTATAGGCTAGTACGTTCTGTCCCATGGTATTGGAAAGTTGAACAAATATCCTGTTATTCCTTTGTAGGTGTGGATAGAATATTGCTAAAACTGCTATATGTTAGACAAAGTCCTCTTTCCAAATTCTTTCTTTTTTTTTTTTCAGATTTTTTTATTTCAATTAGAAACAAGGTTGTTTTACATATTTCTTTTTTTTTCAGATTTTTTTATTTCAATTAGAAACAAGGTTGTTTTACATGCCAACCCCAGTTCCCTCTCCCTCCCCTCCTCCGCTACCACCCCTGCCCCCAACTGAAACCCTGCCTATCACATATCCTTTCTGCTCCCCAGGGAGGGTGAGGCCTTCCATGGGGGAGGTCATCAGAGTCTATCATAGCCTTGGGGATAGGGCCTAGGCCCACCCTGGTGTGTCTTGGTTCAGGGAGTATTCCTCTATGTGGAATGGGCTCCCAAAGTCTACACCTATGCTAGGGATAAGTACTGAACTACTTACAGAAGGTCCCGTAGATTTCCGAGGTCTCCTCACTAAAATTATTTCTTTTTTAGCTCAAAATTTCTTCATCTTTTGTCAATTGTTCTTATGCTTGACTTAAAGAAAAAGTAATAATTGAAAATACCGTGTTTACTTGTCAAAGCATTAAAAAGAGTTCCCACTTTTTCCTTCTTTGCAGATTATTACCAAGGTATCAGGCTCATTAATAGTTTTTTTTTTTTTTTTTTTTTTTTTTAGAAAAAAGTTGGAAGAAAAAAAACCCTAGATGATAATATGGGTAATTTTAGGTTGCATGCATGCACAAAACTTGAAAATCATGTTGTGGTATGTGTTCTTATTTTAAGCTTGCCCTTGTTAGCATCTTCTGAATAAACAGGTGTGTATACTTCTCCAAGCTGTCACTGTTGTTTATTTAGTATGTTTGCTTCAGAATCTACTGATGGATGATACCCAACCAGCTTGAAGTTTGACTTTCAGAAACTAGAGTCTTGAAGTTTTAATGAGAGTGTCTTAAAGCATGGTCCAAAAATTTTATTAAAATAGAGCCTGTCTTTCAAAGATATCATAAGAGTATCACATTTGTACGTTAATTCTAGGAAAAATGATTATGAGTAATAGCTCTCAGCTTTCAGATAGTGATTTTCATGTTCAAAGTGCTTGAAAATATTAATTAAATCACTGGCAGTCAAATTAGATCAATATGTTCTCTGTATATGCATATCTGTACCTTCTATGTACACAGTCTTCTAAATCACACCACTGTGGATCAAACATTTTCCCCCATCTGAACTTAGTTGGTTGACTCTGATTCCAAGCAACAGATAATTACTGAAAAGGCTAGGCATGAGGTGAGACTATGTAAGCCTTCTTTGTCTTTTAAGGAAAAACATGAAATTTATCCTTGATAAAATGCTTTTAACTCTAGGTCAGAAGGTAACAATGACAAACCCACTCCCTTGTATTACAATGTGGACTAGCTTGATCCCAACTAAAGATGTTGCATCAACAAAGAATATGTTTTATGCTTCTCAGGCTACTGGTATGTTTGGCCTTTATCAGCACCAATAACAAGAAGACTTCTAAGGCTAAATATGGTGTTAATTTCAGCAATATGGTAATTGTTCATTAATGCTAGGAATCTGTGGTCACTACTGACTTGAGGAGCTTTTAGGCCAGCAAATTAAACATAGTAAATTTCATGATTATTTTTAGAATAATTTTCACATATTTTTCTTTCAATGAGTTTAATGCAGCTTTCCAAATCACCACAAGAGATTAGGAGCTCCCAGTAGACCCCACATGCAGTATATTCCAACTAAGAGAGAGTGATAATAGCATTCTATCTTTCAATAACACCTAACAAATTAACATACCCTACTCACCAGCATATTACAATCAGGAGAAGGCATGCACATACATGTAGAGACACAAATTTGGCCAAAGTCTGGTTTGCTTATCCTTGGAAGCTCAAGGCTACATCACTTCAAATCAATGGCTTCAGGTTTCTCCCTCTACTTTGTCTGCCAAATTTTCTAATCTATTTCCAGGGAA